TATAAAAGGATGACTGCAATAACAGTCATCAACATGTCTTTTCAGCTTTATATGGTGAGAACCATGCTAGAATCCCTCATTGCAGACAAGAGTGGTTCAAAGAAGACTCTCAGAAGCAGCCTGGATGGACCAATAGTTCTGGCCATTGAAGAATTCCATAAGCAGTCCTTCTTCTTTACACATCTTCTGAATATAAGTGGTAAATAGCAATATCAACTCTGAAATAAATAACCTAGACAGAATTAGCTTATCAATAATTAGCTTGTCAAGAATAACCAGCTCTAGAACAATGAAATTTTCAGTGCATTTTAATTTATATTAAAGAACTATTAGAACTGGGTGTGAATTTGAAAACAATTGTGAACCAAATAGTTTTGTTTAATAAATTGCAATCATATTCTTGTAAGAAAACAGTCTAATTTTATATATTTATATATTCAATTTTATCAGTTCAAATATGTTGTGATATTCTCTCCATATAATATGTTGTAACACACTTTGCAATATCTTTTTAGATTATATTCATTAAACCTGGTTTGCACTTTATTTTGGGGAATTATTATGTTTTCACTTACACTTTATATTGGGGAAATATCTTATGTTTTCAGAAGCCCTCCAACAATGCTGTGATTTGTCCCAACTTTGGTTCCGAGAATTTTTTCTGGAGTTGACCATGGGTCGCCGAATTCAGTTTCCCATTGAGATGTCAATGCCCTGGATTCTAACTGATCACATCCTGGATACCAAAGAACCATCCATGATGGAGTAAGAACTCCAAGATGATATGAAATGTATCTGTGGGTGTCTTTGTGATAATAATTGAAAGAATTTGATTTAATTCAAATTCAGCTTTGTGCCCCGTGATGAGGTGCAGTAATCAGTCTCCCTGTTTCGTTGCATCTGCCCAATCTCTTTGGAATGATAATTTACTTTTATTTATTGCATGTAGTCTAGTGGTATCCTCACAAAGACGAGCGAAGGGCTGAAGTATTCTTAAACAACAATTTGTTTCATATAATATAAAGGAATTACAGTATGAAGTGATTTGTATAAAGCGATTTTTTTTCCTTTCAATTTTTAAGGATGTAAGGAAAAATTGATGTTAGGAAATAATTTATGAGCAGGCTAGTAGATGGGCACTTGGTTGTAGATGCTAATAGAAATATTGCAAATGAATGAATTCATGAAATTCATGACAGTGTGCTATTGGCTGTATTCCATTGTAGGCTCATAAAATACAATTTTATGCATGAAGAAAAATTTTGATAGAGCTGAAGATATTGTAAGCAAATATCGATTTGTAATGCACAAATTTAAGAAAGCTTGCTTTAATATTATATCAAGTTTTATGCAGGCTTTCCCAAAACCAGTAGTTTTAAATTAAATAGCATTTTAAAATTTCTACCATAGTTGAGACAAATATTTGCACAAACATGTCTGTGCTGACCTATTTCATTAATTGCAGATATGTGCTCTACCCACTGGATCTCTACAACGATAGCGCATATTATGCTTTGACCAAGTTTAAAAAGCAGTTTCTCTATGATGAAATTGAAGCAGAAGTAAGTTCTCTCTGCATTATTTGTATTAATTATTAATATCAAAGTTTTGATATATTTTACATATATCACTTCAACTTTTATGCCTGTTATTATAAAGCCCATTTTTGTTCTTTTTCTACCAGGTGAACTTATGTTTTGATCAGTTTGTGTATAAACTGGCAGATCAAATCTTTGCTTACTATAAAGCAATGGCTGGCAGGTATGAAACCTCTGTTGGTTTGGGAAGTGTTGTGTCAGCTATTAATGTTTTTCTGTATGATTAAACTAGTTCTTGAGCTAAAGAATATATGATTTGTATGATGACATTACAAGAAGTAGACATAGCTAGAAATTGATGGAAGAAGATTGTTCATACTCAAACATGATAGCAGTAACTCATGGCAAACCTTTGCATAGTATTGCTTCTTGCTGAATGATTAATGCTTCTTCAGCAATTAAAAATCAACTGGTTGAATAATATCACCTAAAATCTGTTTTACATCAAGAAATTAAACTCTTATTATCAAAATAGTAGCTGCTTCTAGAATATTTCATCTCTCCATGGATGGTTCACATAATTAATTTGGCGATTCACATTGTCTTGGTAAATTATTGCTTTTGATTTCTGCTAATGAGCCAATACCTTCCCGAAGTAGCTGAACAAGTTATTTTAGATATTGGAAACATTTTTTTCCACAACCAAAAATTTAAGTTTGCAGATTTCTATGCTGATGATGATATTAGAAATAATATTCCCGACTAACCATCTTTTCATATTAACACTGTACATAGGGTCTTGTAGGTCTGTTTAAAATTTGTGGAGAGAAAGCAAGAATTGCTTCCATGTCAGTTTCTACCTTGAGCTTTTTTTGTCTTATTTTTTTCTTCATTATCCCTTCATGCAAACACTAGATCTTATTACATACCGTAGTTCTTTTCATTGACGTCTTGAGAATAAATGAATTGTGGTAGTGAAGAAGCAATCAAGTAAAGATTCTTATGAGTATTTTTCATTTGCAGTGTTTTACTGGATAAGCGCTTCCGGGCTGAATGTAAAAATTATGGAGTGATTATCCCTTACCCACCATCGAATCGCTATGAAACATTGCTCAAACAAAGACATGTCCAGGTACAATTTCCTTTTAGCAAATTCTTTGGTGTTTTTATGGGCTGCTCTTTAGGACTAATTCACGCTTTAATTTCCCATGCCAAAGTCTGGGGGAATTAGTATGCATGACATACACTTCCATGGCTTAGAATACTTGCTTGCAAGTATTTATGTTTTCCAGGTAACCATACTACCAAAAGGTATGTGTGTAAGGGCTTCACCTGTGAATCCCTGTATGGCAGAAGGCATTCTCCATAAGACATGTTTTTGGAAAATATAAAAAATACTCTCAATATAAGGAAGGAAATAAATAATGGCTAACTCAGTTGGCAGCTTATCTTATAAATAGTAATGTAGCCCAGGTGAGAAGAAATCTGGGGAAAAGGCCTTCAAAGAGACATTGTGGTAATTAACTCAGTATAAATGAAGGTGGCGAATTCCTTCAAACTTTTCAAAATTTTATTACCCCGGTTAACATTAAAGGTGCCTTATTGGAAGCTGATAGCTTTTGTCCCCTTGGTCTTGCTTAGCATCTTGGGGTTTGACACCTTGTGCCAGTCCAAAATCTTAAGCACTCTACTGTTCTGATTCTGTACTTTATTTTGGCTCTCCTTTTAATCACTAATTTCTTGGTTTTACACATGTGCCTTTTGCAGCTGCTAGGCAGATCCATTGACTTGAACAGACTTATCACTCAGCGTATCTCAGCTGCAATGTACAAATCATTAGATCAGGCTATTAGCCGCTTTGAAAGTGAAGATCTGACGTCCATAGTGGTAAGTATTGCTCCAAAACAAGGGACAAAATAAAATATATAAACAAGACTACACAATACTGCATATCTAGTATAACTGGATCCAATTGATATGTTCTGTTTATTTCCATCAACCTCTGTTAAAGTGTGTTATTGCTAGTGTGATAATAAAATAAAAAATACATCTTCAGTATGTATGCTTTTACAGTGAGTTCTAATTTGCTCACAAGTATGTTGAGGTGATGTCAATCCTATACATTACTTTTGACAACTTAAATGTCAGCATTTAATGATTTTATTTATAGGCAAGGAAGAATTATACATATTTCTTTGTAATTATCAATCAATCAATCAAAAATATCATTTTTCCATACTTCTTAAATATGTGTAAGATTCAAGTTCCCCAGAAATTGGCGGGATGTTACAAACAACTTGGGTTGGGAAGATGCAAAAATTGGACTTGATTCTGATTCACAAATGCATTTTATACGTAGCCCTTGACTTATAACAATTCATTTAGTGACTGTTTGAAATTACAATAGCACTGAAAAAAAGTGACATGATCATTTTTCACACTTACTACTGTTGGTCATGTGATCAAAATGCAGACTCTTGACAACTGACTCATATTTATGATGGTTACGGTATCCTGAGTTCATGTGATCACCTTTTGTGACTTTCTGACAAGCAAACTCAGTGAAGTCACTTAACAACTGTGTTACTAACTTAACAACTGCAGTGATTCACTGAACAACTATGGCAAAAAAGGTCATAAAATGGGGCAAAATTCATTTAACAACTGTCTCATTTAGCAACAGAAATTTTGGGCTTAATTATGGTTGTATGTCAGAGAGTACCTGTAGATGGAATGCATTTGTTAATATTTGATTTCATCTAATAACATGGGACAAATAAACATTGTTGTATGAGGAATCTCAGTTTTTATCCTGAGAGAGCAGAATTTCTTTTCTTTTTTTTTGATGCAGGAACTTGAATGGCTTTTGGAGATCAATCGTTTGACACATAGACTCTTGTGCAACCACATGACCTTGGACAGTTTTGATGCCATGTTCCGCGAGGCCAATCATAATGTTTCAGCTCCTTATGGGCGCATCACGTTGCATGTCTTCTGGGAGCTAAACTTTGACTTTTTACCTAATTATTGCTACAATGGATCTACTAACAGGTATGAATAAAATGTCAAAATAACATGTGTTGGTCCCCCTCTCTGAAGACTACAGATAAATCTCTTAAGCTGCTAGAGATAGATAACCACAATGGTTTGGCAGCTCTGTGTTCACTGTTCTTCCCAAACGCTAGAACATATAATTTGTCTAGGATAATTTAATTTTTAATTATTGCAATGAGTAGGTGTTTATAGCTTAAATGGCTCCTTTCTATTCTACAGTCCAAACCAGGTTGCATTATATAATGAATGTAATTACTAGTACAAGTGCAAAAGTGTTAGATGTATTACTTGAAGATACATCTCAGATATGTAGTGTTAAATTAGGAAGCAATGTTTAATTGAAACATAGCTATTTTGTGTCATAAGTGGGTTAGGATGACTGATATAGCTTTCCTCCTCCTCACACATACTTTTTTTGTGTCATTTTACAATTATTAGGTTTGTGCGGACAGCAATTCCATTCACCCAAGAACCCCAGAGAGATAAACCCGCCAATGTTCAGCCGTATTATCTTTATGGCTCAAAGGTGAGTCAAACAACATGTTTGCTGTTTCTGGATCTCCATACAGCTGATAGGGTTTTTGAAAATTCTTGTGCTCTTGATTTTATGGAATACTTGGCAGGAATAATAATCAATAACATACAGTCTTATTTTTAATCACTTCAGAATAAAGGAATTTAAATTTTCCACATTACGCCACCTGAAACAGTGCAGCATTATGTATCAAATAATAACTCTGAACAAGGAAGCTAATGCATGTCTGTAACTCACTATTACTGTAATCAGAGCATTTCTGGAATTTTAAGAGATCAGATGCCCCCTTCCCCCCATGTATATATTTCACTGTTATCAGTTATTCACACTATACTTAATCTCAAGATGTTATATAGCAGTAGTCCTCAACTTACAACCATCCATTTAGTGACCTTTCAAAGTCACAACAGCACTGAAAAAAATGACTTACGACCAGTTTTCACACTTATGAATATTGCAGCATCGTCATGGTCACGTGACCAAAATTCAGATGCTTGGCAACTTGCATGCATGAATGACAGTTGCAGTTCCTGAGGTCATGCGATCATCTTTGGTGATCTTCTGACAAGCAAAGTTAATGGGAAAGCCAGATTCACATAACAACGCTGTTACTAATTTAACAACTGTGGTAATTCACTTAACAACTGTGGCAAAAAAGGTTGTAAAATGGGGCAAAACTCACATTGCTTAGCATTACATTGGGCTCGATCATGGTTGCAAGTTGAGGACATTGGACATTGGACATCAAAATTTTCATGCTGTTTTTAGGAGCAGCTCCCTACAGAAGCAACTTTTTAAAATGGATTCTAAACTGATCTTTTGGCATCAGAAAATATAGCAGTATCAACAAAACTTAGACTGCAGGGCTAGTAGTACAGCTTCTACCCTGCATTGCTAAATTATCTTTCCATGGCTTTAGATTATCTTTAAAGAAAGCTTATGAATCAATGCATTATTGTTTAGTAGCTGTTTGAAATGCCATTGCTAAAAGAGAAAAAAGAATCCGAACCAGATTGTTTGGATATTAAAAGGGGGGGAGAATAAAATATAAATCATTGTCTGGTGGTTATCAATATGTTGTCCTTACTGTAACCATAATATGTTAATTGTCTTATTAAATAAACGTTTTGCTCCTCTTATTCTCAGCCACTCAACATTGCATACAGCCACATTTATAGCTCTTACCGAAACTTTGTGGGACCCCCACACTTCAAGACAATCTGCCGACTTCTTGGATACCAAGGGATTGCTGTTGTGATGGAAGAACTGCTGAAGATTGTCAAAAGCCTGGTAAATGGGGATAAATAAACCCACTGGTTTTAATCCTCGTCTTTCTGCTTCTCTTCTTCCTCCTAAAGTTCCTTGTGGTTGCCCAAAATCTGCTCCAGAAATTTAACTGATGTTCTGGCAAAGATTTGAGAAGGATCGGAATTGGATCTGGGGAAGAGAGGAAGGAAAATTCATGTTGTGTAAATAGAAGTTGATTCGTGTGACATTCAATATAGCTTGCAAGATTGTTCAAGATTGCAAGGCAGATTTTAATTAATTTTCCAGACATGGTTTCTGCATAGGATTTGAAGAAGCTTTTCACACCTGCCAGTAATTCTGCTATAAATCTCTAATTATTCTGGCAGAAATGGAGTTCCCATGATATGGGAAACCTGTGTTCAGAAACCCATATACCAAAATTACCAGGTCAACATAAGATATAGTGATTTCTTGGTAACAAAAGGAAAAAAGAAAAAAAAATATTTTTGCACTGAAATATAAAAATATAAAACATCTGCTTGAGTTTTTTAAATTGGGTTACTATTAGTGTAAACTTTTAAAATTGTTTTCTTATTTTTCTTATTCTTATGTTTTCAAAGAAAAATATTTTTAAACAGCTATTTGGGTATATTTTAAGTATTGTAGCTCACTTAAAGGTGATTTAAAAGTACTTGTTTGGATCCCAGCTCAAAAACACTATGAGGAGCTTCCAGAGACCCAGACATTTGCACATCCAGTTGCCAATTTCAATCATCTGTTTTTATTTGGCAAATGTTCCCCTTTGGGTTTTGAAATTTCTGAAGCCTCAGTTTCTTCTTACAAACTATTGAACTCAGAAGATGTTTCTGGCATTTCTACATTTCTTTACTTCTGTTTAATAAGCCATTATATTTAAAGCTTCCTCCTTCTTTGAACTGAGATAGGATCAAGATTACTTGTAACTGCATACAGTGGCTGAAGGGAGCCAAGATTTGCAGCTGCAGGCCACTTTGTAAAACTCCAGATGTTTTTAATGTTGAGTCTACTTCCCAGAGCTGACATTCATCTCCAATTGCTTCTGATAGCTGCAAGGAACCATCCTTCAGTATGTGAAGACCTTGATAGAGGTGATGCCGAAGATTTGCCGCCTGCCAAGGCATGAGTATGGATCTCCAGGTCAGTACTGTGAGATTAGTACTTCTGCATAATACTAAGGAGAAATTTCCTGACAGAACAATCAGTGGAATGGCTTGCCTCCAGAAGTTGTGGATATTTTTGGATATTGGATAATTTTAAGAAGACAGTGGACAGCCGTTGGTCTGAAATAGTATAGGGTTTCCTGCTTGAGCTGGGTGTTACACTAAAAGACCTCCAAGGCTCCTTCCGACTCTGTTATTCTATTAATTCTTATTTGTTTATCACGTTTGGTTGTTCCTGTTCTTTGTTCAAAATCATCAGCATGACTTATTTTGAACTATATTATTTTCTTCTGGTCTCTGTGCTTTAGACATGTAGAAATATATTCTAAAGATTAAGATTCCAGAGATTTAATTTAGCAACTAATTGAGAGGTCTAGAAACAACCTAGTTACTGTATAAGAATCACTGTAGAAACATAGAGTAGAGCCCCGTGCAAGAACCCAAATGAAGGCATCCCAGATATGCCAATACCTTACCTGAGCTGTTAGTTCCACTGACAAACTTCCTATTGGGATTTTTTTTCCCTAACATTAAATCAAATTCAGTCTTTGAGTAAATTAAACCACTATTCTTCCTGCACACCAGGAGGAAATTTTTTGAACTTCCACAATATGTCATCCTTTCAAGTATTTGAAGAGTGCTGTATAGTCCATCCACTCCAATCCTTTGTCAAAGTTAAATTTTCACAGTTTGTTCTCATAGGATTTCATTTCCAGTCCCGATTGTCCTCTTTGTCCTACTGTAAACCCATTCCAGTTATTTTGAATCCTTAAAATATGATTCTCAGAATGGGATACAGTATTTAAAATGGAATCTGAACAAAGTGGAAGAAAGTAGAACAATTACTTCCCATGAATTGGAACATATTTTTTCTTTTGATGCAGTCTAAAAATCGCCCTTGTCTTTTTTGCAGCCACCTCACACTGTTTGCAATCAGCTGCTATTACAAGATCTTTTTACAAGTTTTGTTACCAAGCTAAGAACTCCCATCCTGTACCTGTGCATTGGTTTCTTAGTGAAGAGTTTTCTATTTGTTTCTGTTACTTACCCACATTGTTTTAATTTTATTGCCATTAACAAAATCTGAGGCACCACCTCTTCCCAGTTACATCTGCACATTGCATTTGATATGCTTCAGAGAGGGCATGATTCAGATCCTTCTGTTATAAATTTACACCTGGCAGATCCTATGAGGTAGGCCTAGTTAAACCGCCAAGTGGCCTCCATGGCTCTTAGAGAATGAATGACCAGCCTTCAGAGTGGTAACAACCAGATGACTGCAAAGAATATAAATCCTTTCATTTGCCACCATTCAGTCAGAAATGAATAAGCTTCTTGGATGAGAAGTGAAATGTTTTCAAGGAAAAACTAGGGAAGTCCAGATGCCTTTCGAAAAAGCACCTTTGGGTCTTTTATTTATATCTTGCTTTTCCTCAGGAATCCTGGAATTTTTCCACCACCAGCTGAAAGACATAATTGAATATGCAGAACTAAAGACTGATGTATTCCAAAGTCTGAGGGAAGTGGGTAATGCCATTCTTTTCTGCCTTCTCATAGAACAGGCCCTGGTGAGTTAAAATGAATTATTTGGGAAAATAATTGGGCTTAAATCATTGTACGAGAAACAAAGAAACAAACAAATGAGCTATCTGTGATCAATTAGATGTCAATTTAGCTGTGAACTATAGAATTTCTTAGTTCAGGAACTCCTACGTTCTCACTCCAGCGGCTTCTCCAACCTGTGTGCCACTCCAATGGGTGGATGTCAAATCCCAGAATTGATGGTAGCAATGGCCATGCTGCCTGGGATATTCAGTGAGCTAAAGCCCACACAGCCAGAAAGGTCCAGGATGGTAAAGGATGTTGCAGCTTGTTATTACTTGTAACAGCACTCTTCAGTGGCTTGCCAAAAGCCTGGCGAAATGAACTACAGAGACAAACACAGAAGCAGAAGGACTTGTCCATATGAATGCACTCTGAGTGCTTAAAGACAATACCAAAGAGCTGATTTTATTTATTTGCTTACTTGTTTTTCCATTTCTTATTGCAAAAAAGCACAGTTGCCTTCAGGCTTCATTGCAGCTGCGTCTCTAACAAACCACAATAGTATTAAAATAATAACATGTGCACCTTGATAACATGATATATGTGCTTCATACATGCTTCAATTTTGAAATGAAATAGGCCCTTGCCTATTAATCCCACTTCAGGTGTAGCAGCAGTAATAGTTGCAGTGAATGTTGTTAATTTTGCATAAAATTGTTCTTAATATCTGTAAAGACAACTTGTCTCATTAAGTTAGCACCCAATACTGCTTCCTACATACCTGGGATAGCATCCAAATGAAAAAACTGATCTTTATTCTGTCAGAATAAATCTTAATAACCAATTAAGAAATAGACAAACTATACTACTCCAGTTGCTGAATTACAATTCCTGGCATCTGTCATGATTTGCTATATAGCTTAGAGATGTTCTAAGTTGTAGTTCGGCAAGTTCTGGAATGCCACAGATTGCCTACCCCATACCAGTTTATAACTCTCTGAGGTTTCTATTCTTCCATTAAGATGAAAAAGATATTTACCAATTTTAAAGATGTCATGATTTCAAGAAGTCATGCCTATTCCCCTTATTGCTGCGACAATCCTTTTCATTTGCATAGTATTTAAACTATACTTGAAAGCTCACAATAGGTTCTCCCTTTTATTGGACATGTTTTTTTTAAATTGTTTAATAATAGCATGTGGTTTATTATGACAATACTGTAGTGTCAATAATTTGCAGATTGCCAAAGGTGGAATGGAGGTAAGCATTCTGAATCCTATTCCAAGAACTGTTCCCTGGAAGAAGAAGGAAATATTTATTGTATCCATAACTAAATTACCTAATTTTCTTGGCAGTTTTTAGTTTTTAAATGAAGTAGTTAGGATTTAAAATAATTCCTCTGAGCTTTTTATGATCACAAAAATAAGCATAGTGCATGCAGAATATATTTTGTTGAGTACATTGTATTATTTATGAATGTTTTTTGATTGAGACCCTGTCTCTTGCTGATGACTTTAAGAAAATATTTTGACATGTTTACTTTTCTGCTGTTGTTCTTTTCTGAGAGCAAAATAATGTATAGATGTACTAACTTATCATGAAGTAGGAATTTAGGGTGTTTCCAAAGTTGTTCTAAAGTTTTTTTAAAAAGTGTGCACGTTTCCTTGCCTCCTAGCATAAAGAAAACCGTCTTCTGGCATTAAAATGATAAACTCCTCCCTCTCCTTTAGAGGATGGAGGAAATCTGGGTATAAGTGACTGTATTGGAGTGATGGTTCCAAGACTCTAGGAGAGCACAGGCCCTGATTATACAAAACTTCTACAGTGCGCAGAGTTTTTTTCTCACATAAAAAGATTGGTTGGGATGCTACCTCTAGCAGCTAAAACTTCCCCTCTATGTTGGCCTTCCAAAGATTGAAATTGAACATTCCAAGTTCTGATGTGGCCTTTTTTATAAAATAGGAAACAGTGATATCTAATTATAGGATATATTACTTACCATAAGATATTACCAAAAGGCAGCTACTCCTTTAGACTCCCCTACAAAAATGTACATAAAATTACATTCTGTAAATCACTGAGGCTTGGATAAGGGACCAGTGCTCATGTTTTGGTCCATACCAAAGTGTGGCTGGGAATTGGAGAATTGATCACAACGTTCCAAATGCATCTTCACACAAGGGTGTATCAAAACCACCTCCTTTTGCAGTGTCTTGCCTCCTTGCATGCAGCTATCATGGCTTACTTTGTTGCTATACCGCCATGTAGAGTCATGCAGAATTTGCTGCAATCATTACTCAAGTCTCTGCCAACATTCCTGCTTCCGAGGTCTTGCCTCTTTGTGTGTCTGCAGTTTAGATTAACTCTCGATCTCTGTATGTGTTTTCAAATTTCTTCTCATTTGTGGTTCCTCTCTCAGCCTCTTCCAGCTCAGTTCTAAGTATGGCTACTTGGAAATAACTTTGACCTGAGATCAGTGGGCTATATTCCCAGGAAAGTAGGCAACTTACATCACAGAGTCTCTTTTTAAAAAAGAGTGGTCCATACCAAGAAACATGCAGCAAATTAAAATTCACAGGAAGTATTGCAGCAAAAAGCTCAAGCCTCTTTGAAGTCCATGAAACATAGATTTGAACATAGATAGATAGAACAGCTGTATACCCAGAGCCTGAAGGCCAATTAAGATCTTCCATGTTTTTGAAAGTAAGAGCAATTCTGGAGATTTGAATCTGGCCTATGTCTGTATGAGCAGAGTTCCTCTGTGCCATCCTGTTTTTTCCCCCACTTGACATGTAGGTATCAAATAAGTCTTCCTTTCCTGTGAGCACAGTCTTGAACCAAATGTCATACAGCTCTCATGCTGCTTTCAGGTGAAAAACACAGCAACAAATAAGATACCCAACGTAGAAGATCTCATGCTGAGTCAACTTTGGCCCCCAGTCTGGTTCATCTTCTGCTTCCTGTAGTTTGGATCTCTTATTTACTACCAACTGATTCCAAATGAAGTTGATTAAAAAAAAGAAGACACTCAGGAAGTCAACCTCTGTTGAGTGATGCCAAGGAATCATTTTATGAGCATATCAAAGTGGGCAGTAACAGAATTCTCAGACCCTTTTAAAAATATTTTGGGCATTTTCCTCAATAAACAGATACTAAGACTTGTATGTGTGTGTCTGTGCGTGTTCACAAATATATATATATAGTTACTTATATATTGTTACTTGTGAACACCACCACTACCCCATATAATTTGGAGATTTGCTGTTGAATTTTAGAAGCACACTACTGGGGCTGGAGCTTTACAGGGCCCATAGGCTGCTAACAAAATGACTTGCAACACTATTCCAAGGGCAGTTGAATACTCTGTGTCCAGGTGTTAGATTAGCCTTTCCAAGCTCCAAACTTGGACTGTACATCTATTGGATTGATCATTGTCCCACTGCCATCAGTGGCCAAAGAAGGCTCTGTGAAAAAGTTATCTTTAGCTATGCCCTTGCTATTTTCCATCTTGGTTTTTTTTTTCAGTTTACCAAATGTTGAGTCTTTGTTGATGCACACTTACAATTAACATAGCCAAAAAATGACCAAATTTTCATTTTTTTCCTCATTAAAAGGCAAGTTAACAACCCCGGTATATTAATTTAATTTATAATATTGTCATACTATTTTTCAAGGCAAAGCCTTGTCAAAAGAGGTTACAATATAATGTAAGCACATTTTCTCATAAACCTAGACTCCAGCTTATTGCTTGAATTTACTGGCTTAAACGCAACTAGTATCTGTCACATACATAATACACTGTGGCTTACACACTTTAAGTTTTTGTAATGGGGATGCTCAATTCTAGGTGCAGATATTCAGTCCTAATTAAAGTCATGGCCTGGTAGAAAACCTGAAAGTCTGGTACATTCTGGAGTTTTTTTCTATTAGTGCAAAACATACTCCATGCTTCGTCACTGCAACTGGATGAAATTTTGAGGGGGCCTTTATAGTTCTTATTTAAACAAATCATTCAGAGAATTCTTCTTTAGACTGATTTTAAAAAAGCAATTGTGAGTGGACAAATCAATTAAATACGTCTGTTAGCAGCCTATATATGGATACATCTATGTGGAATAATGTAATCATTCAAGATATATCAACACAGACCCTCAACAATCTTTGGCTGTGCCTGACAACTTCAGATCACCCAAAGGAGGAGGAATATGGTTAATTACCAGCAGTCCTTATTACAGTCTTATGGAAAATACACCATTTAGCAGCAAGGGTCAAGAAATCCTACTGCTGAATCAGAAGAAGTAACAAAGCAGAAGCGCTGAATTTTACAAAAAAAAACCAAGATTATCTTTATTATAAACTTACTTTTGACACACGTGTCCGTTTTTCCTCGATATTGAGCTAGAATTGAATAGCCTTTTGAAAGCAAATAGATCACTCTGCACTTCCCGGTTTGGTTGACAGCTAAACAGTCAGTACTTAGGTAGTTTTTAACACCTTTTATTTTTCTTCCTCCTGCCTCAGTCCCAGGAAGAAGTGTGTGATTTGCTGCATGCTGCTCCCTTCCAAAATATTTTGCCCAGGGTCTACATCAAAGGTAAGGAGTGAAGAGATGCACAGATATCAGTCATTATTCCCTAGCTATGTAGTAGCAATGAAATTTCAGCTTTCAAAGAATCTTAGATGTAGTTAGCTATTCATTGCCTTCATTTGACTAGGGACCCTATTGGCCAATTCACAAGAAAGGGCACCCTGTAAGCAAAGCAAGATGTTTGCATTAAAAACAAGATCCTCTTACAAGTGTATTTGGTGTCACAGTTGTAAGTAGTGATCCTTCTTCTCAATTCACTTCCACAGTTTTATGTCATACTTGTCCCAGAGTTGGATAATGGTTGGGAGATGACTCTGAAATGCTAGGTTTTTTTCTTTTCTTTTTGCTTTCTCATTTCACTGTTTGCTGCTCGCTTAACAGAAGGAGAACGCTTGGAGGTACGCATGAAGCGTCTCGAAGCCAAATATGCCCCACTTCACCTGGTTCCCTTAATAGAGAGGCTGGGAACTCCTCAGGTAAGGATGACATTGAAAGCCATATTGAATGGGTGACACAACACATCATCCACCCCTGATTCTTCCTCCCCGCATCCCCCATCCTTCGAATGTCCCGGACCTCAGGAAGCCTTTCAATTTTTGTTGCCTGAATTTCAACTGTACATCCCAGAATATTGATTGAAACATTACTGAGCAAAATGGATGAAATTCAATATGATTCTTATGTAGTCATGTCCCCATAATCACCCTATGTGCCAGAGACAATTAATTTGTCATTATTGGCCTGAATATAAATTATTCTATTTTTTTTGTTATTGTTCAAGTGAACGTCAGGCAAGGCATTCTCTTGTCTCTGTAAGGGGACCCTGAAGTTTCAAAGTAGTCATGGACTCCTACTGTATCCTATGCCCCTGGCTCCATTTTTTTTATTATTATTATTGGTTCTGTCATGGGAAAGAATAAGAGCAGGCCACCCATTACAATACTTCTCTGTCAAGTTTTCCATATCTTCACTGACACTTTGTTTTAATATGCAGTTTGCAGACAGCACATTAATTGTGGCAATCAAATTATGAATTTGTTTATTTACAAAATTTTATAAACCATCCACTCATTCTAGACAGCTAACAATATTCACACACTGAAGTGTCCAGTGATAAAATCAATACAGCAGTCCTAAGTTACAGGTCACAATTGAGACGAGCAACTCCGTCACAAAGTGGTATGGTTGTAAAGTAAAACACCACATGACCTCGCTGCTTTACAACATCAATTCTGGCTGCAGCTCTGAAGCTAATGCTGTGTGGTGGTTATGTGTAATGTCATATATGATCACAACTTGCGACTTCTGCCAATTTTCCTATTAACTTTAGGTGTCAAAAACCTGCTGTGAAAGTTGCAAATGGAAATCACTTCACCGCGGGACACTACAACCGTCATAAATGTGTGCCAATTGCCAAGTGCCCAAAATATCAATTGGCACTTGGTGTTTTACTTTACATAGGAATGCTGGGACGGCTGCAAGTTCAAAAACCGGTCGTAAATATTTTTTTAGTGCTTTCATAATCACTGAACAAGAAGTCAACAAGTGAAAGCTACTGTATCTGATATTGTCCTTCTTTTAAAACTTTTTCACTGAATCTGTAGAGATTCTCAGTCATCCAGGTCATGGTTGTCCCAGGAGGCATCTGGGGGTTCTTGTTTTTTTCTTTTGAACACGTTTCACTTCTCATCCAAGAAGCTTCTTCAGCTCTGACAGGATGGTGGGGGAATGGAAGGATTTATACTGCAGCTATCTGTAAGGAATATAAATCCTTCCATTCCCCACTATCCTGCCATTTGGGACGTGGTTCTATATCAAGACATTTGCTTGATTCACTTTCTTAGTGTACCCGTCACAAGAACCTGCAATCAATCCTGTCTTTCTGATGATAACACATATTTTGGCATTTGATTACTTGTCTCCCTTTCAAGCATAGATTACAGTCATACACAGACATGTTGCATTTTTGAAGACATACTTACAGTATAATGGCCAGTCTGGACAGGTTGCAATTCCAGAAATGTTCGGTTTTCTCCACGCTTTTATATTTTGTGGCTTGGCTCACTTGCATGAGTTACTTAATCTTTTGTGCTTGGCAAAGCTCTTTTTTGCTACGCATCTGCTCTTTGCTTGTGGTTCTTTTTAATAGAGGGCTCGGCCTTGAAGCTATCAGCTATATTGGGTTTTTTCCCCCCTCTAAAGATTATTACTTTGAAAATGACTGAGATTCTCACACTTAATTTAAAAAAAGACAGAATACCAGTATAGTTCAGGCTACATGTCTGTCTTATGACTCCCAGAATTTTAACATTTGTCCTGGATCATAACATTTAAAAATTAATGCATTTCTTGGGCCCATTTTGAATTGATCCTTGTGGAGGACTAAATGAAGCAATACAAGGAATTTTGTGCCAAATATTCACCTGTGTTTGCCTTTTCCAACCTAGCCCCCTCCAAATGTGTGAAGACAGTAACTCACAGAATCCCCAGATGCCATGCTGGTAGTTACTGTCCCTACACAGATGGTGGAGGCCAGCCCTGAAGGTGTTGTTTCTGTGCTTGGGGCCTTCTCTGTATGTAATGCTTTGCTCTTTGTCTGATATCCATATATACCCAAGTCTTAGATGATCAGTTGTCCTACAACAGCAGTCCAGGTAAAATGAATGACATCCATTGCTCCTGTTGATTTCAGTGAGATATTTGTAAGCCTGTATAAGCTGCAGTCTGTGTGGCACACGAGAACATTTAATGAAACATTTAATTTAGAGCCAACCTAGATGTGACATGGTGGGAAATAGAATTTATTCTTTAAAAAAATAAAAACTTCACTAGCAGTCCCGAATGAAGGAAGCTAGCTTGCTTAGCCTTGAACCTTTTTAAAATCCTCATAGATAGTCTGAAGCTGCATGAACTGCTAACAATCGTTACACCTTAAAATATATAATTTGTTCAGTCTTATACATCCCATGGATGTACAGATTGCTCCTGATGATTTAAATTCAACTGAATCAGTTCAGATTGATTAATGCTATAAAAACGCAAATGCTGATGGCTGAAGTTAAATCTGTTTGGATGCCTCTAATACAATTATTCAAACTGAACCAGCTGTCCTATTTGGAAAATTAAGTCAAATTATACATTCTGTTGATTGAATCTTGCAATTTAATGTTTGCTGATTTCCTAATACACCTTTCTCATTTTTCAAATAACTCAAGGTTACTAAAAGTGCAGGAATTTGTCCAGGCAGTCAACAGAAGTAAAAAACTGACTTGAAAGTGCACGTAGACACACCTATTCACTAGACAGTATCTTAATATACTATCAGATACTCCCAAATCATTTACCACTATTAACCTGAATTATTTCCATCATAGTATACAGAGTAAGAACATTTTCAGACATTGAATATAAACCGGTACAGAGCGAGACATGTTCTCAGTGATCTCAGATGATTGCTCCTAACACAGCAAAGCCTTGGGCCTTCTTGCTCTTGGATTGCTTGCTTCTGAGTAACATAGATGGTAGTGTCTGTGGGGAAACTATCCATATTTCTGTGGGATTCCACTGAGTTTTTCACAGCCCAGGTCCTAGGTTAATCTCTCCATTTGAGTTGTACAACATCGTACCCTTTCTCTGAAGAGCAGATAGGCATTCCTTAATATTCAAACATACTGCATACATGATTGAGAACCATGTGTACCTCAGCATTTTTACGTTTATTATGGAAAACACACAGGAATAGATGTGAAACAATGTCGTTCTGAAGGATAGGTCACGTTAGTCTCAAGAAAATAATAAAATATCTATTTTTCCTTAATTGTATTGTTAATTTCAGGAAAGGTCACAAATATCGAATACATAAATTTTCTGTGCAATAATTTGATTTGCATCTCTTTGCGTTTTCTCTAAAGTTTTCTATTTTTTTCTCTTCAGAATATCCCTGTGACACTATTTGTTTATTTATTTATTTATTTATTTATTTTATACACCATCCATCTCACCATCAAAAGCAACTCTATACTTTAGTTAATAATAGTAGAACTCCAATGTCAGATTTGCTACATGAAACAAATATGGACTTAGACTTAATCACTCTTTGAAACTATGGAGAAACATTGTGTTGTTATTGATACTAGTTGATGATAGTCTGCATTAAAATTATTAGAGAAGACTTGGAGCAGAAAAGAAGAGACTGAAATACTTATGTCATTTAAGGAAATACTTAACTATCAGCGTACCCATTTTAATTTGGGTAGTACAAAGAAGATGTTGAAGAAGAAAAATCAACATCTCTATAAAAACTTAGACAAATCTATTTAGAAACTTCAAGAAACTCTTCTTAAACAAGATTCCAAAAAGGAGAAGAGCTTTATTCTCTTGCTTTGCCTTGAAATATTATATTCCCTTTTAAGTCTTTTTCTCATTGAAGAGTTATGAGTTCATTTTTGTGTACAATTTATATACTGTGGTGTCCATTGTGAAGACTCTAAGACAGTTTATAGCACTTAATGCAATACGATAAAACCAACCTCAGTATGAGCAATCACGGCCCAAGTAAAATATTTCATAAAGGTTAATATAACAGCAGCCACAATATCAACAGCAACAATAATCCTATCAAGAACAGGGCTTATCTCCACTATTAGCAGCCAGGGGCACAACAGAACAGCATACTTTGGTTGATTTCAGTTTTGGGACCTCATAAATGTAAGGGGGACAAATGGGTCCTTCATGTGGAGCTACAACTGAGAAGATCACCTTTGGGCCACCATCTTTATATGAGGCAGAAACTTTAAACTTCCCACCTGAATAAAAGTGGACAGGTACAGTATACTCAGAAAAGACATATAAGGACTGAGTCTTGTAGGGTTTTATATGTAATCTCTAGCACTTTGAATTGGACTTGGAAAGCTATTGATAATCAATGCAGTGACGAAAATATTGGTGTGGTACTGCTAACTGCTTATGCCTTTTGGCCACTAGGGATCTGTGTTTTGGGCCTACTGTGGCTTCTCAGTTGTCTTTTGAAGAGTTGCATACCCATGTAGAGAACTGTATATTTTAGTAGTTCAGTCATTAAGCATCAGATTACTCCAGGAAATACTTTTTTCCCAATTGCCCCAGCTGACATTTATTTTTTTAAAAAAAAGTAAGTTCTCGCCCCTAATGTGTTGATATTCAAAGGACATTCTGCTTTGTTAATTTTAAAGACATATTGTCTATGTATGTTAAGAAATCTCATACTTAGAAATGATCTTTTCCTCAAAATCTGATTAGAATAAATCAGTAAGAATGCAGCTGTTGCATAGTGAAAAATATTTAACTCTATTCCCAAAGCCCATATTTGATTCCCAATCCTATAACTCCCTGAGTTGAGTTGGAAATTACCTGAGAGGAAATCAGTGTAAGATTTCAATGTAAGAATCTTCAGTATGCAAAAGAAGTAGCAGATGTATAGCCTGAGAATTATTTTTGGGGATTCCCAATATAAACTGATTTGCAAATATTTGCTCCTTGGTAAAGTACATCTATAGTCACAGTTTTCTATATCATTTTTTAGCTTTCAGTGCCTAGGTTTAAAAATGGATTGGTCCATTATTATCAATATGCATACTAGATGGTCCACTTTATATTTCAACTAGAAGTAATGGGTAACACCTACCTTAATATCTATGGAGATTATCAGTCATCCAGGTCATGGTTGTCCCAGAGGTGCGTTTTTTCTTTGACGATGTTTAGCATCTCATTAAAGAAGCTTCTTCAGCTCTGACTGGATGGCGGGGAATGGAAGGATTTATATCCTTGCAGACAGTTGGTCATTTGCATTCTTTTAGAGGGTTGTTAAGGTGAGCCATGTTCAGATCTGTACATTGGGGAAATGAAACAACTTCATAAACTCATGGCACAGTATAAGAGAAAAAACAGATCAGGACTAGGTTCAGCAGTCAATCTGCATTTAAAACACACAGGCTACTCTTTTGAAGACAACAAAGTCCATATTTTGGACACAGGATCTCTGGTTTGAAAGAGGAATTAAAGAGGCCATTTATGTCAAAATCAAACAACCCTCAATAGAGGGGAAGGGATATGACATCATTTATCTCCAATCTACAACAGTCCTTTCAACAGTTCCAAGAAGGCTCCACACCCATTTGCACCACTCAGGTGACCCTGATGGCACAGATAAACCTACAGGTGACCTTAACAACCAAATAAAAGAATGCAAACTACCAGCTATCTGCAAGGAGTATAAATCCTTCCATTCCCCACCATCTTGAAAAAGCACATTTGGGACCTACTTTCATAGTTTTTTTTAACCTAAAAGATAAACAGTACTGAAATAACTCAATATGTACTAATGAAGGTGCCTTAGCATTTTTGTAAAGCAAATAGAATAGATAAAGTCCATCCAGCTGTGCTCTTTTGTGGTTGCTACTGCATTATCAAAGGACTGAAATGGCATAGCTGTGTGAGGCTGAAATACCTTTAGTTGTTCACAGTTGTGTGCTAATCAATTTCATTCTGCCATCCTGCTGCCCATTTCTACGCTGCATATCTGTATTTTCATCATGTTGCTCTCTTTCAAATGAAAGTGCAGAAAATTGACAAATGCAGTTCTCCAGGAAATAGTATATATAGCCCTCATTCGTTTCTGCATGCAAATGATTCGTGCTTTTTAGATTACCCAAAATATTGAATTATTGATATAGTAAAAAATTATTTTCTGACTATGTTTACCATCGCTTCTGAGTTCTAAAAAATTGGATGGAAGTAGAAATATTTAATTGACTTTCCAATTTTCAAAATAGAGAAAAATATTTTTTTCTTATCTCAAAAATGTTTATTCTCTTGCGATCATAATTAAAATACATAATGGAAAATTACCAGAATAGTGGTTTTTTTTCCTAGGTTCTCTTTATTATCTGTCACACTTTAAGTTTCTCATAAATTTTGCATTACAGATTATCAATATTAAATTTAAGCAGGTAATCAGATATGTAAACTCATCCTAAACAGGAAATACAAATCCACAAAGGCATGCAGATCTGGATTAATAATGTATAATAAGCAAATACTGTTAACATAATTATTAAATGCACATATAAAATACTTGGTCTTATGCAAATTACACTTCATTGAAGTTAAATATTCACTACAGTAAGAAAACATTATTGCAGACATATATTTCACTGTCAGGAATTTAGTTTGCATGACCAATGTCACGTGCAGAAAATAATTTTTTTTTTAAAAAAAAAATCCCAATAGAGCAACAAATTTTGGCTCTTTCCAAAATGTCATTTCATTCAAAGAATACCACTAAAGTAATAAATATTTGGATAAAATATACAAAGGTGTATTAGAAAGCAACTTCCTTAAGCTAAACAAAGCAGTTCAGTATTCTCAGGCAAAACTTTACTAGATTTTAATTAAATCTAAGCAGGCTAAGCCCTTTCCTAAACATTTTAACAGGTTCCAAACTTTACTGGAGGGCTGGGTTGGGAGATCAATCTGAAAATTCTGGAGAAATTGGTATCTCATAATAAAGTTTTATTCCTCATCAGCAAATAGCCATAGCCCGTGAAGGAGACTTGCTGACCAAGGAGAGATTGTGCTGTGGGCTGTCCATGTTTGAAGTTATCCTGACCCGCATTCGTAGCTACCTCCAAGATCCCATCTGGCGTGGGCCTCCCCCAACAAACGGCGTCATGCATGTTGATGAATGCGTTGAATTTCACCGGCTCTGGAGCGCCATGCAATTTGTATACTGCATTCCAGTTGGAACAAATGAATTCACTGCTGAGTGAGTAGGCCTGCATTGAAGGCTATATCCCTTCTGCAAACAGCTGAGATTTGATGACATGTAAATCTATAGGGATACTTTGCTAGTGACTGGATTCCGTGTGTTGAGGCTATTTCTGAACAAAGGCCACATGGCTGTCTTTTTGTTACATGAATTTCTCAGAATGTATGATTTCTTCATAGAATCAAGCAAGAAGATTTGCAAACCTTTCCATCATTTCTAAATAACATCTTCGCTATTCCTTTTTATTCTAGACAGTGCTTTGGAGATGGCTTAAACTGGGCTGGTTGCTCAGTCATAGTTCTTCTGGGACAACAGCGTCGTTTTGACCTTTTTGACTTCTGCTATCATCTGTTAAAAGTGCAAAGACAGGATGGGAAGGATGAAATCATAAAGAACGTGGTAAGTCTGAGATGGAACACATGGACTTGTATAGGTTTTATTCTACCAGCTGACTGTACACCCTATACATTGAGCATTGGTGGTTCCCCAGAGTGTAAACAGTTTTTTTACATATCCCAGGTGGAAACTTGAAAAGGGTTTTGGGTCAAACTTCAGAACTTTTGCACTGCACTGAATCTTATTTCAGTGAGATGACTTTCTGCTCATGAAGATCCAAATTTCTGAACCTTTGACATTCTCCATGTAAAGCATGTGCTTTATCACAAAGCTGTGGAATTTCTTCTGAAACTGACTTTTTTATTCTAAAAGGCAGATTAGCACAACTTGTATTTTGGGGATTTTGAATTTTTATGTGGGAGAATTATATAAAGAAACAGTAAATAATTCATCCCAACTGAACAGGATGATGTCTATTGTGAGTGCTTTGTATATACATATAATAAATTCAGGGTCTGCTGGCCTTTATTAGCAAAGGTGTTGTGTACTTTTGGCTCGCTGGTAGTGAGGCAAGGAGAAAGAGGAAAAGAATGACTTAACGAAGTCAATAATTTAACAAATATAGAGCCACTTGTGCATAAATTTAATAAAAATGTGAGGCAAATGAGTTATTTTCCAGTTCCTTTGTGGAAGCATGTAAAGAAATATTATGTTTATGATGCCTAAGAAATAAGGAAGTTTGAAACATTATTTTCCCATTTAGAGGCAGGAGAGAACTATTCTAGATATTTATCCAGTACTCTTGATGATTCTATTGACAATAGAATGGCTATAAAAATAGTAGAGATGGTGTTCATGTGTCCTTATTCCCTGTTTTTGTGTTAATCTCCAGCCACTTAAGAAAATGGCTGACAGGATCAGGAAGTACCAAATTCTGAACAATGAGATTTTTGCCATCCTGAACAAATACATGAAATCGGTGGAAACAGACAGTTCAACAGTTGAGCATGTGCGCTGCTTCCAGCCCCCCATCCATCAGTCCTTGGCCACAACATGTTAAATGTTCAGCCTTGGAAATACAGTGTGAAGATTTGTGTCTTTCCATTGGACATTGGTGAGAAAGGTTGGACTTCAGCTGTTGGAAGCCAAACAGCTGCAAACACAGGTCCCGCAACAAAGCAGGCATGGATGGATCCAGTACACAAAGATGCATTTCCTAGAAGACTCATTTGAATGCATGTTCTTCTATATCTTTCTGGCTGGCTTTACCTATAGTGTTGAAACTGTGGTGAGAAGAAGCAGAAAGTGTATTTTTTCCTCCTGGGGTTTCCTTTATTTTCATGACAACCCATAATCCATCTGATCAAGCACAAAAATCTGCAGTCTTTAAATGGTCATTGTTTTTGAGATTCCAATGAAAGAAGCCCACATTTCAAAATGTTGCCAGTCTTCCACTTGGTGCATACTGAAATAACAGCAGTTTTCCTTGATAACTTGGTTTTGTGATATAAGTGCTTAAACATTTTGAAATAATGAGTTTCTCCCCTACAAGTGATACAGAAAAGGCATTCTATCATTTTACAATAGTATATAATTGTTTACTTGAAATCAACAGGTTTCTGCTATACTGTAATTGTTATCTCACTTTCTAGGTTTACTTTGCTAAGCCAAATTTGGAATTAGTTTACAGTGGCATATTAACAAACAAACTCAATTTTTGCATTGACTGACAGTGCTACGGAGAAAGGGAAACAAAGTAATGCTTTCTTTTCAGTCTCTTTCTTGACATGAATACATCTGAGCTAATATTTGTTTCTTACTGTTAGAATTACAGACAGTCATTGTCTATATGTGATACACATTGTAATGGCCTCAGCCCTTAGTGAAGTTAGCAGGCCACATCTTCTTCAAAGGTTGAATGGAAATGGGGTTCATATTTTGAGCTGAGCATCTTTTTCTCTTTGGAATGCTTTTAGTAGAAGAATGAGATTGTTATATGTCTGTATTCCTGAAAATGGGAATCTATGATAATTCAAAATTACAGATCCATGTTTATAATCGAAAGGAAATGCTGTTAGGAATACGTACAACAAAATCTTTGATTCAAGCAACAGCTAGTCTTCCTTTAATATGTATGGTTCCAATGACATATTGATTTCCCATAGCTGATTTTAAAAATGAAAAAGCTTATAGAATGAAGGGGAGAGATAATTTGAAAACACGTAAGTACTTTTCTTCATAATAGATCTCTTACTTTCTTCATCCAGGAGATAAATCCACACAGTCAAAAGAAATTAAGTCAGGCACTTTCCATAACACACAGTCAAGAGAAATTAAGTCAGGCACTTTCCATAACAGATATGTATAGGAAAAGGTACGCTTTAAAGAGACAAGAATGATGAAAGAGAAACAGAACAATTAAGTCAGTCACAACTCTTCTTTATCAGGTGAGAAGATCTTTGCAACTGCAAATATGACAGTAAAATAGATTCTGAGGATAAAAGCAACCCAGTTTAGCAAGTCTCATTATCCAAGCAGAACTGGTTTAATTACCAAAGCCCAAGCATGTAACAGGTCAGAAAAGGAAACGTAGGATCTTTTAAGACGTAAGAGAATAATTCATTTCTGAGTTCTTTTGGTATAGTCTAAGGGACTTGATTTATCTATCAAGGTCCCCTATAATTCTCCAGGGTAAAAAGAGGAATTTTAGAATGAAGTCCTTTAACATTTCAGTGGTTCAGATTAATGTCCTATAAAGAAAATATAAGTTGCTCTAGTGTTGCTTACAGTTTCAAAATTAATTCAAAATATTAAAGATTTGGACAGTTTTCCTTGTTTTTGAGAACAGCAGGGGTATAGTGTATTAAAAAGTTCCTGTATGTAAATGAATGATAGTGTGCAAAACAATAGTTGTCTTCTATTCATCTATGGAGGCTCAATCATTAGAACATCTTGGTAATTTGTTGCCAATGCCATTTTAAAGTAATGATCTGTGAAATTCTGGAGATGGTGGTAGAGGTGTTTTTCTGTTCTTTAGCCTGCAAAAAATAAAGCCAGGCTCTTCCAGTGTTGGATGTTTCCCAACAGTTCCAGCCTCTTCCATACTAGTTGGCTTTTAACCTTATCTTATTCAAGTCTACTTTGCCAAATTTGCTGCCCTTCAGAATTTTGGCCCCTGCTCTGATGGGAAGATGCCAAAGAAGGACAATCTAGCTAAGTTTTTGTTTCCCATCATTTAGATTTTAGAAATTTTCATCTATGCTTTTTCTTCTTTGTCATAAATGCATATTTAATTACTGTTCATCACAATGAGCCAGGTTATTAAACCAGAATCTATTAATAACGATAAAAAGAGAAAAAAACTTAGCTTAATGTTATCTGTTTTCAATCTTGTAAGAACATTATATCGTCAGCAGCAGCAGCAGCATAAGATTATTAGTATTAAGTATGTGGCCTTTCTTAAATGCCTTCTTTCCACTGAAGATTTACACCTCTTTATATAGAAGTTGATGGAATATTGTTTCACATATCATATCTGTTTCCTATGCATAAGTACAGAGGTAGCTATTTAAGTGGTAAGATATTTGAGCTTTTTTCATGCAACCATGATATCAGCAACACTAAGCCCTCTATCTGAGAGCGTCAAAGCAGAAATTCAAATATATAGTTTTCTTATTTGTACTAAGGAGATATTTACCTAATCATACATTGTTTGCTTTTCACATGAGGCGATATCTTGCCACACCAGATTCCAGGTTGAATAGAAGTCAACATCTGTACAATTGTATGTGTGGAAACTTTTTCAGAACAATAAGTATATTGCGTAGGCAAATGTCTGATTTAGTGTAATATCTCAGGTGTGATTCTGGAACTGGGCTTATTCTTAACATTCATTCAATGGGTTTGTAGTGGTTAAATAAGGGTCTCTTGTATTGATGGAAATATGAAAGCCTCATAGAATTAAGACTCTGTACACAGGTAGCAATGGTGAACAAGAGTTGAGAGAAAGGAAATGTCCTACTTTTTTCAATCCCAAATGTCTGGCAGAACGGTTTGAGTGTTTTCTGAAAGCCAGAACTCCTTAATATCACTGTTTCTACCATAGTGAGCCTTCATTAACTTTAAAAAACAAAGAAACCTTTAAAAACTAAACCAAACACGAACATACTCTTGTGATTGATTTTTAATTCACTTGGCGAGATAGGCAGGTGTTCTGCACCTCATTCTTTTCTTTTTTCTTCTTTTTACAGCAGTCATGAAATATGATAAATAAAAGATGTAGTTACCCATCAGAGCTGGATACTGTCATAGTTCTAAATTTTCCATTTATCTTGTATTATCCCAAAGTATCTGCTGTAGGATTGGTATAACATTCTATATTTTGTTTTCTGAAGAAGTGTACAGAGAACAATAATTCTAATAAGCATTTTTAGTCATGTGAAAGAGGTTTGTTGGTTCTGCTTTTATATTACTATTACAAAAGAGATCTCAATCAGTCTCAGAAAAAAAACCTGATACTTGTAGGGAAATCCTAAATATTGTCTGTGGTGGTGAAAAGAAAAGCAGGATTTTGTTGAAGGTTAAAGTCTTGTCACTGAGTGTCAGAGAATCTCAAAGTAAATTCAGATATATTTTATTCAGGTTTTTGTTTAAGTGTTTTTCACTTACCAGACATTGGGATCACGTTAATCTAAATACAAAATCATGTATTTCCTGTTCTTATGAATGCGAAGGAAAAGATGGTTTTCAATAAATTGGGATTGAGAGGCCCTAACTACCTCTTTTTCAGTTATTTGCTACTTTCAAGTTTCATTTTCATTAACAACAAAAAAGTTTTGGTGCATTAAATTCTCCAACCGTATGTGATATATAGTTTGGTTGGTAATCATTCTTCATGGAAATTAGCAATTTTACAAAAATGTGTTTTAAGTCCTTTAAACTAAGAAAAGTACAAAACAATGATCTGTTCAATACATTTTGATTCCCTCTAGTTCCGTTAGATTGCTCTCGTTTTGGTTTTAATGATTTCAGATGAAAAATAAGTGATTTCAAATGAAACATACACTCTCTCAACTTGAATTATATTCCTTTCCCCAACAGCACTTGTCAGATATATCAGAGCCCATAGTAATTCCCCTGCTTTTCTGTATTAATCTGCATTTCATTAGTATTTGGATATTTGAGAATATAAACACAATCTTTTTTTAAAGGAAAATATAAGGAAAATCTTTGTGTAATTCTTCCAAATGTATCCTGTTTGTATGAAAAATGTCTAAGTTTTTTTGTACAACGACTTTACATTTATTTATGGTGCAGTATATTTACAGCAGTGATCAGCTATGGTGTTTGAATCATATTTGCTAAGCAGCAGAAAATGGTATATATTGTTTTATATTTTTTGTTCTTTCATCATTGGTCAACAGAGATTTTGTTGCTGTTCCAATGCTTCTCTAATAATAAGATACCTTGCGTGCAATGACATGATGATGACCTGTATTGCAGTTTCAAACAATGTGTACAATAAACTTGGGATGAATCTAAGGGGGAAATTTGAAATAATAAATGTGTGAACACGAGGGTGAAGAAATGACTCCGTCACTTGATTTTGTCTGTGATTTAGGATACAAGATGAATTTCCTTGAATTGGGCATTTCAGAATCACCTGATGCTACAAAGAAATCTGGGTTGTCCAACTGCAATGTTAAATTGCCACTCATAAACATGAGGGTGAAGAAATGACTCTGTGATCTTGCAGAACGGCAAGAAAAAGAACACAAACAGGAACAATGGTAGGGAAGGGCCATAAAAACTTTTTCCTCATCTTATAGGAAACACCTCTGTGCTTCCTAGGCAAGTTTCAAATCATGATCCAAACATTTTTCGTGGGTAAAACCACAACAGAAGAGTAAAACCTGGATAATTATTTCTCTGATGAAGGATGCTTACTGTTTGGGAGATAACTGTTTTTTATCATCAGTGTGGCAGAACTTAATGGTATTTTTAAATTTTAATTTACATTGAGTTATTATAAGCATCATTTTCAACATATGGATCAGTGGTGGGATTAAAAAAAAATTATTACCAGTTCTATGGGCGTGGCTTGGTGGGCGTGGCAGGGGAAGGATACTGTAAAATCTCCAGTCAGAGGTGGAATTTTCTGGTTCTCCAAACTACTCCAAATTTCCGCCACTGGTTCTCCAGAACTGGTCAGAACCTGCTGAATACCACCTCTGGTATGCATTAATGTATCACATTAAGGCAATTTACTAACAACCATTGGAAAGGTTCTAGAGGCAGTCTTGAAGGCTTTTAGTGGCCTTCCTCAGCATCTGGCTTCAGACTATACACCTTTGTATTGTAAGTGAAGTAAATGTGCAACTAATTTCTTTAATACTCACATAATGGGCTACTGATAGTGAAGAAGAATTCTTCTGCTGTGTGATGTAGTCTGTGAATGTATGACTGGTAGATCAAGAAACTGAAAGTGGCATTAATTCTTTATTTGTCCATTTGGACCATGAAGAAACCACACAGGAAGAAAATGGATTCCTTCAAGCTGCGCTAGCAGAGAAGGCTCCTGTGCATTCCTTACACAACAAAAAGAGACAGGCAAGCAAGTGCTGGTGTGTATATAATCAAACATGTTGCTTGAAGGCAAAAATCACAAAAAAAATTGTCTTATTTAAACCAAGTAATGTGATCAAACTCACTGGGAAAGGTAATTATGCTTAGAATGGTCTGATGTAAAAAAAAAAAAATGAAATGAAATAAACCTCCACAATGATACACCCTAAAAGTCAACACCAGTCAAGTAAAATAAGTAAAAGTGGTCATATAAGATTGGAAAATGTGGAGAGAGCTAGTCCATAGAATTGCTGAGAATCAGGCATGATTGAATGGACATCATCTGCCTATTTTATCTTCTTTAAAATGCTCATACATAAACAGGAATACCTTGGAGGTCCAATATGTCCTTTACTTTACCATACTTAGAAAAAAAAAGTAAAATTGCAGTTTATGATCAAGAAAGTATAACACTACTTTTTTGAAATCAAATCGTATTGCAAAAATCCCCCTAGCAGCCATGGAAGAACAGCAAACCAATACATTGTAAATAATTATATGCAATTCTGTGAAAAAGAATTTGCTCTCTCCCTCTTTGGATTTCCTGAAAGTATAACTTTACCACTGAATGTTATCAAAGTTGGTCCTGCTGGCAACATAAATGAAAAAATAACACACACACACACATACACACACCCCAGGAGATTGTGCAGGTTTTATTTATTTCATAAAGTTATCCTATATGTAACTTTCAAATTTTGTTTTACTTGTTCATTCACATACAAATTAGTATCCAAACTGATATTACATTAATTGAGAAAGGTATAAATGCATTTGGCAAATCTATATGGAGGCAAATGTTTTCTATGAAATGACAGTATGTTAATTTAAGAGTAACAAATTATTTGTCTTTCTACAAATTTAAAGAATAACTTTCTGAGGGAAAAGCCCAAGATTGGGATGGACTTCTTGGTTAGGCAAAAGATGAATAGGGTCAATACAACTGCTTTTTTTTTTTTTTACAAAGAAAACATTCTCTCAGATAATTGCTACGGGGAACCTTGTCCCAAGACCATTCACACGAAATAGATCAAAGTAAAAATGCTCTCAAGTTGAGCTTTGACTCTGTATCTGCATCCATAGAGTTTTCTCTGATCTTATAGAAGTAGATTGGCATGCCTTTTGCCAGTTTTTTTTTAAAGTTGTGATTCTTTAAAAGATCATAAAATGTCTTTGGAAACAAATATAGGTAGCCCTTGACTACCTGAATCAAAATTCAGATGCTTGGCAACTTTGCTTGTATCTACAATGGTTGCAGTCATCCCAGGGTCAGATAGATCACCTTTTGCGACCTTCTGACAAGCAAAGTCAATGGGGAAGCCAAATTCACCTAACAACTCTATTACTAACTTAACAACTGCAGTGATTGACTTAACGTCTGTGGAAAGGAAGGTCATAAAATGTGGCAAAATTCATTTAACAAAGGTCTCACTTAACAGAAATTTTGGGCTCAATTACGGTCATAAGGCGAGGACTACGGTCGGATGCATATATACACATGAATACGCATATACCCAGCAGATATGTATTTATCCAGCACACTTAAGTATACTAAATGTATACTAAATATTAAAAACATATCTTTTTTGCTCCAACATCAATCTCAAAATTGTTTTTAAACTAAGCAGCACAAACTGCATATTGCACATAATTAGTCTAGGCAATCACAAAAGTGCATTTGACACTTGTTAGACCAGTTTTCCAAGAAGTGGTGCAACCAGTATATTTAATAGAACTGATTTTTTTTTAAAAAAGGTGGGGCATTGTTTTAATACCTCTTTTCACAAGATTTTTTAAACACTGTTAATTGCTTTGAATTCTAGAAGGAAGGAAGTAGGGAGGAACAGAGACCAAGCCAGCTTAATTGGAGCATTCTAAGAATCTGTTTCTTTAGGAAAAATAAAAGCTGGTTAAAAGGGGGCACCTTCTTAGGCTTATGTGAACCAGCCACCCTAATGACATAGATTTAAATTTTTAACAGCTACTTATCCATTTCAAAAGATCTTAAATGAATTAGTGTGGCTACGTGTGTTTTCTTTTCCTCCTCATTGAACAATGCTGAATTGAAATCTACTCTGAGGTGGACTGACTTGGGCAGAAGGGCTGGATATCGAAATAAGATGTTCTAATGCAGGGCCCACACCCGGTTTAGCGAAGGGAAAAACAGTCTCGATACATCACGTGACCATGATGACGTGAGCTTGACACCCCTGTTCTAATGTGTAGTAAACAGGATCAAAATGCAGAACGCAAAAGTCAGGAATTGGTTTTCCGTAAAGTAAAAATAAAACTAGTATGTCAAAAATCAGAAGGTGTCTGGTAGTGAGTCTGGTGAAATGAACTGTAGATCACGAAAACTCATGCCTTTTAACAGAATTGGTTGGAAAAGGTGCTACCTATAAAAAAAAAGTGGTTTTCAGGTTGCCATAGGTTAACACAGCTCTTTTCCTACAGTGCCTGTGCTATTACACAATATCACACTGAACACCTGACTGATGAATTACACCTTTTGC